ATTGAATATACTGACCTAGCAATTAGTAGCCCAAGCTGATATGTTGCGTGAAAAATACATTGAGCATATTGTCTCCTCTCACCACTCTCCACCCAACTGCCAGTGCCCCATTTAGTTCCACATGTGATTCAATATCACCAGTTAATTAAGATGTCACTTGTTTCCACTAACTCTGCCCATTTTTATATTAGTTCTTGGAAACACACACACTCACACCTCTAATAGTACTCACTATCCTTTCATTTTTGAGGAAACAGGGCACAAGGTGGGGATGTTATAATAGGAATAATGGGGTGGGAAAGCAGGGTGGACTCTCTACAAATATGGCAGGTTTCTGGGAAAGGAGTGAACAGACAGATGCAGTGGCTGGGTGCCCCTAGCTTGGTGTTTATATACCACCATCACTTCTTCAGGCTGGGGGGGCTATTGTAATGGGGCTGAGACCACTTTAAGAAGACCATCACATATGGCTTCTCAGCCTTTTGGCTGAGATCAAGTAAAGAAGACCATCACTTGCCTGAGCATATCTCCAGCCCTAAAATGCTCTGATTTTAAGTATTAAATTATCCAGAGTGTTTTAATTTTTATATTTAAAATAAATTCTGATAATTAAAATTCATCTTATCCTTGCTCTGAGCCTTAGATTTCTGTTGCAGGAGATGGGAAGGTGAACTTCTCAGACTTCATAAATGTGCTAACAGATAAGAACTGCTTCCTCAAGGCTGTGCGTGAGTAGAGGTGTTACCGAATAGAAGGCAGTTGGGCAGCTACAACTCACTCCACAGTAAACGTTATTCACTTAGGCTCTGATCAGGAGGCAGATTGGGAAGGCATAGTCTGGGATATGACTCACTTTTGTACTGCTTCTCCAAAGCAATATTTGCTGAGCAAACTGATAATAGTTTTAGAATTTTAACTTAAATACATCAAGCGTATATTGTCCTGGCATTGTCCTGAAAACCTCCTAGGGGAGACACTGCCCTTTGGTCTCCAATGAGAACACTCAGGGAGTGATTGGTATAGAAAAATTTGATCTCCTTTTATAGTGTTTGAATTCTTTACCAAGTATATGCACTACTTTGAGAGGCATTCCTTTATAAAAGAAAAAAACATATTTTTTCAGAGAAAGAAAAATGCTCTCTCTCATGCAAATTTGGGGTGTTGATAATTTACTGTTCTTAAAAAAAATACCTTCCTCACACTGATGAAGCTTCTAGCCTCAGTGCTGGAGAGTTTGCTGGAGGTTAGAGAGCAAGTTCTCACCCAAGGCTGTACATGATATGTAGGTATACTCAAAATATTGTTATTAGTATTCTCATTGTTTGTTTATGAGTTTAGCAGCCTGCCTTGGAAAATCTAACCACTATTCATATCATGTTTTCTAGGATAAATACATTTCAAATTCAAAATACTATATACAGTTTTGAAAATACATGCATTCATAAGCTATGAACAACCCCTAGGATAAAGAGAAGCTACTGCTTGCAAGTACTACTATAGCAATGGGGGTTTGCCTAGATCCTCTGCCTAGAAGAACAAGACAATAGTCCTTAACATATAATTCATGTTTATGTTAGAAGTATTCTTATGTTTACTTAGAAGTCATTAAACTAAAAGTATTTTTATATTCCATGATTATTCTGTCTGCTGAGTAATCAAAATGGCCTTTCTACCAAATAGAACAGATTTTTAATGTTTCACTGTATCTCTAGTCCCTGACTTGATATTATTATTATAAATAATCAGTAAAAAGACTGTCATTTTATTATTTTTTGATAGATGGTTTGTTTAGAAGGCATTTTGAAATCTTTTCTTTTCCCTCCATAGTTCCAGAAAAGGAGATCTGTTTAGATTTAGCTGGCAACCCGGGAATCCTATTGTTTGAAATCCTATCAAAGCTTGTAGAGACTTCAGCCCTACCCAGAAAGGCTATAATGGAAATAGTAAGGTAAATGGGAAGAAAAGGGACAAAAACAGCCTTTTCAGAAGTATTTATGAGGACATTAACATGGCAGTCACCTCTCACTAACATCCAACTCCACAGGGTCTGGTCCAAAACAAAGGGGAAGGTATCTGGACCGATG